GTCCCCAGGGCTCCGCACAGTTTCCCTCGCAGGGTCCCATGGCTCAGGCTGGCGACGTCCTGCTTTACTGCGTCGCCCACCCACGACCCTTTCGCCCACGTGCTGCTTCAGGGTTTGGTTTTTTTTTTCCTTTCGAGAGCTCCGGAGCTGAGATTAAATGAAGCTGAGTCACACGGACTCAAGGTGGAAAAAACCCTCCCTTGCTCTGGTGGGGGTTGCAAAAAGGCGACCAGAGGTGGCGAGGGGGCGAGTGTTAATGGGCAGAACTGGGGGCTGCTCCCGCTCCCCGGCTGCGCCGCGGCGGCAGGGGCGGGAATGGCGCAGCTGATCCCTGCTTGCCTGCTGCTGGCAGGGATATGGTTTGGAAGGGGAGTCTCAGTTTGGGGGGGGTAAGGGGGATCCAAGCCCTGCAGAATAACTAGCGGGGGGATTACGGGTGTCTGCTACCGATTTCTTTTTCTCTTGGGCCGTGCTTTTTTCCCTAAGGGGTTTTCGGTTTGGTTTGTTTTTCCCGCTGGTGTCCCACTCCTCATTTACCAACCTGACACCTTTGCGCTCTCCTTTCGCCTGATTTACCTCGCGATAAGCCCAGGACCGAAGGCCGAGACCTCGCCTGGCACAGAGACCCTCACTTCCCACAAATGTCACTTCTCTCCATGTTTTATCAACATTCAGCCACGTAACCTCCTCATCATCTTGAGGAAGGCCAGCGCCACGCAAGCCCCAACCAACGCCCCAACCGGCCCCGCTGCTGCTCCGCCCCGTGCTCCGGCAGCCCACGGCCGGCGTTGGGCAGCGCTCCACAAAGGGAAGGCTTCCGGCTGGAACCAGGGGGCTCGGCGTCCCTGGGGCTGAGCGTGCCGTCCCCGCGGCCCCGGGGGGCAGATGAGCCCAATAGGTGGCATTGCTCAATTTATTGAAGGCTACCGAGGGGAGAAAGGCACCGGCAATCGGCATCAGCCCTGCGGGGTCGGCCTCAGCTGGCAGCGGAGGGGCGGCGAGCAAAGTCTGCACGGGGAAGGGGTCGGGATGGGAAAGGAGACGTTATCACCTCCTCCTGGCCTGCTCTGAACCCTTAATCCTCACTTCAGGGGTAAAAACAAGTAAAAAGAACCCTCCAGATTCCATAACTGGACTTCTTGAAGTCCAAATTTAAGCAAAACCCAAGAGCACATGAGAACTACAGCAAGCTGTGATTCTTCTTCATCCCACCAGGCTCTTCCCGGGTTAGTAAAGGTGCTGATGGCTCAGTGAAGAGAGGCTCATTCATTAGTTTTCCATGCCAGAAAGTTGGAAAATTTGTGTATGTATTTTAGTCCAGAAAAAGGGCAGAGGGTAGAACAAAAAAATTAAAATATAATTGAAGAGAACCAAACCAGGGTATTTCCAGAGGGACTGGTCCTCCGAGGACAGAGACGAGCGGTCACTGAACCTGCGCCCGAAAAGCCAGGCTGCGTCTGGGATGGGCCAGCCGGGGCGAACGGGAGAGAGAAAAATGTGATTTACTGGAAGGATCATCACGGGCAGTCAGCAACACCCCCAATGCATCTGGGGGGGAACCTCTGTGCTGCTCTCCTGAGGCAGCTTTTGCACACAGAGAAAGAAAAAATCCTCCAGGGAAAGGCAAACGCTCCCCCGCTTGGGGAACGTGGGTGCCCAGCGGCGGCTCCTCGGGGTTTTCGCCGGCAGGGACGTGGGCTCGCCGCCCATCGCCGGGCTGACGGGAATGGCAAGCGCAAAAATCTCACCCGAGGTGTCTCAAGCAAGGCACGAAGAAGCTGAGGCTTAAAATCTGGGATGAAGGCTCCTGCTGCATAGAGCTCACATCTTTCGGAGAGCGTGCTTTGGGTGCTGCTCAGGGACCCCGGGCATCCCTCTCTCGTAGAGTGTTTTGGGTGAGAAGGGACCCCCAGAGGTCACCCAGCCCAACCCCCCTGCAGGAGCAGGGACACCTTGAACCACATCAGGTTGCTCACAGCCCCGGCCAACCTGGCCTGGAATGGTCCCAGGGATGGGGCCTCC